GCACGTGATTCAAAAAATAGCAAATGAAGATACTCATTAAAGATACTTTAATGAGTTATTTGTTTTACAAAAAAGGAAGTATAAACATATATTCCGTCTCTCAACTCTTTTGAAAAGGTGTACTATATAAGGAATCAGTGATTTGCACTGATTTACCTCTCGCGTGACACGACTTAATCAAATCCGAGTTAAATTAAGTTAATTACTTGTCTAATAATAATGGGAATTTAATGGGAGTTTAACTTATTATGTATTATAAGGATGATCATTTGTAAATCTGATTGTCTGTCTCTTGGTATAACCTACAATTTCTAATCAATGACGACAGCCTTTAGAGTCTAGGTATGGTTTTAAATATAACTAAATTTATGTGTTTTTTTTTTAGTCTAAATTGGGCTATTATTTTCTTTTTCATTATCGATAAATTCATTAAAGATTTTTTTTTTTTTTTCCTGAGAGAACACATTTAACACCAGATCATCTAAATAAGTTTTGGTTACAATTTAAAGTCCGATTATTTCCGAATGGGTTATAAAGTGATATGTGATAGTACAGTCATATTTTTTTTGTGTGCCCGTTGAAATGAAAGCCTCAATTTAATCGGTAAAAGGTTTTATCCTGTTTTCCAAAGTAGAAAAACAAGATAATTTATTAGTCCAGTCTTACGATATTTAGTTCTATTTACATGAATGTAATGGACATAAAAAAAAAAAAAAAAAAAAATCCAGAAAACGTATGATAAAACACAAAGTGCTAATTTGATCATAAGACTTTTATGTCCATTACGAAACATTTAAAAAAGGTTTAATGGGAACCATAAGGAAAAACAAATACGCATAAAAATATTGTTTGTTGACATGCCGTTAGTAGTTATTAAAGAATGTTTCTTTTTTTTTTTTAGCGTCTAGACTGCATTAGGCACGGAGGAGAAGACAAAGACTAATCTAATTTGAATTCCGAATTCTTTTGCAGAAAACAAAGAATCAAAATTATTTTGTCATATTTAATCAAAAGTCATCAATAAATTATGATTGTCATAAACTTAATGAGAAAGTTTTTTTCATGATTGGTTCGAGTTTGTTTTGCACTAGTACTTTTGTTTGGATCATGCGCGCTCCTCATATCAGATAAGATTCAGATCGTGTCGCGTTTCTTTTAAACATCTACATGTGAAACACTGAAAAAAAAACTTTAAAGTAGTCTGGAACGTATTATCGGAATTACGTTTACGTATACTGTATAGTTTTTCAATTATTTAACTTGATATTTAATATTATTCTATAACGTTCTATTGTTTGATTGGTTCCTGATTTTTTTTTTTTTTTCCTTTTGACAAAGGAGCTCGTTGTTTTCCTTTGTTAGGTTAGATCGGACATTACTTGAAAAATATGAAGCATGGTTAATATTTATTTAAGATGAACTAGATCACGCATATATTCTGACGTCACCTGAGTAAATGCGCAAAATAATTACAAAGGTGATTATTGATGATTTTTGTGTGATAATTACAGAAATTAATTAGGATTATCACAATATACGATATTCAATTTTAGGAAATACTATTGAGTCAATCCTAATTATGAAATACGAGTAATCACAATACACACGTTCAAATAGATTATTTTTTTTCTCATGTGAAACTATAATATATGGTACTCCAGACAATGATCAAGTTGAAAAGAACACAAATATAATTTGCATACATAAAGTTATGCATTTAATATACTGGTTTTCTGCATTCCTGCAACCTGAAGCTCGTGATATGGTCAATCAATCTATTAATTTTTTGTACGTACGTACGTGGGAAGAAATTAATCCTAGGACAGACCTGAGTCAATTAATTTTTGCGTACTACATTTCAATTGTAGTATACTATTCTCTACCTCTATGTATGCTCCAGTTTACAAACTCTATTGATAATGAATACTGTCGTGTAAATTCAGCATATTCCTCAAATAATCTCTTACAATTTATTTAATCAAAGCAATTGTTAATTTTTGGTTACATCTTGTTCGTAAAACATTATTCGCATAATGCCACAACATTAAGGGCACTAGCTTATTGACATTCGATATCTAGGTTTGTTTGTTTACAGATATCTTTTGACATTTTAATAATTCTGCTGTCAATATATTGTTATGATAAAAATTGATAGGTTAACTAAATGATAATTGTTCTAGTCTTATAAGTTATTATTAGAATAATAATCGCTTTTTAGATTGGTCGATTATTAACGTAGAGAATAATTGGCATACAGGAGATAGATGGAAAAGGTATGTCTTATTTCTCATTAAATTATGGTCATTAAATTATGGTTTATTAGATATTTCTCATTAAAATATGTTTTATTAGATATTTCTCATTAAAATATGTTTTATTAGATATTTCTCATTAGACATATTTCTTACTTTGAAAATATGTAGATTAAAAAATCCATCTCCGTTTTGAAATTTAGAAATTAGGAAATAAAAATAAGCGTATCAAGAGATAAAATTAATAAAATTAGCAACTTTATTTTGATGATATACATGTCACTCTAGTTATATAGACATTAAAAAAATTCAAAATGTCGATACTGTGAGTTATACCGAAACTTAAAAATGTCGGTCGGTATAGAAAGATTTTACTATAATGTCGTTATATCCAAATGTCGGTATAACCAGAATGACGTGATTACCACAAAAAAATAGAGTTCCAATCCAGGATTAATCCGCTATCCATTTATCCAACATGCTATTTTTCCAGATATCCGAACGAATTCAACCGAATTATCTGATGTACAGTATTAGCAAGTTCTAAGGTAATCAACAATGTAAATTAGAGAAATTCTATTTTCATCCAGATAAAAATAGAATTTCTCCAATTTTATATATTGTTGATTTGTAATTGTCAAATGTATCCGAATAGCTTATCAAGTTATTCGGTTATCAACCACCTATTAATCTATTTTAACCAATTATCTATTAGATTTCGGATATCATAGACAAATGGATGGGACACTATCATTATAGATCACTATTCATAATCCGAAATTGATCATTAATTCCGAATCACCTATTAGGTATATCTCATTAAATATTCTCGTGGTTTATATAAAACTTTTGAGCTTGACAACTACTTGACCAAATATGATAAAAATCTTTTATTAAATTGATCAGATGGTTATCAAAATATTCTTGCTCAAAGTTTTAAAAAAATTTAGTAAACCGTTTTCTACTGACCACTCCAAATATATACATATCTAATAGATATGATACTTATCATAAAATATCTCATAAGATATATATCTTAACAAGTTACGTATATTTCGTTAGATGTATGCTAGGTAAAAAGATTGAGAAAGCATTAAACTTTTTCAAACCATTCAGAATTTCATTTTTTTTTCTCAATACTGCAATATTGTAGTCTATCATGATTAATAACGTGATTCTCTAACGTTAAATCTTATTCTGATCAACACTAATGTTAAGTCAAAGTTAATACTATTAATGAAAAAGTTCAAAGCAACTATTTTGAGACGAATCTCACACATATATTGAATTTCTAATTATTAAAAAAAAAATGGCGTAATAAATTAAATTCATAATTTATATTAAAAAAAACACTCTTCGTTTACTATTGATTTTTACTATTGATTTTACTATTAATTCTAATATCAGCACAATCAAGATAAAGTTCCTTAGTGATTTCTGCTTCCCAACGAAACCTCAAAGTACATGAATTACAACTAACTCTTGATGGCAATTTAACTTTGGAACTAAAATTTTTTCCTGCCTTATCAGCGCAATCGTCAATCGTTTGAAGAACTTTGAAATTTGTATCCTTTCCATTTGTTGAGAGTTCAATAGCACATGAACCACGATGTGCAGCTCCGATCTCCCATTTAACGTTTACGAGTTGACCGGGTCGAAAATTGGTAAGGGTTGTTGCTTTTTTATTACCTGCACATGGGTATTGTTTGGTTGGACCTCTAGTTATCGTTAGACCATTTTCTTGATCACCGGGCGGGATACGAGGTTTAGGAAAAGTCTTATTGTTTAAAAAAAAACTCATAATAAATATATATCATGTGAATAATATCGATATATAGAGAAATGTTAATAGATTACAAACCATACTCCCATGCCCAGCGACCGTTCCTATAAAAATTAAAAAGCATAATGCCAATTTCATAAAAATTTGGGATGCTCTGGTAAGTTTAGCAAATTTACGATTTTTATTCGCAAATTTTGTAAAGAGATACATGATTTTTAGAAAATTAAATACGATTTAAATATTTTTGGTATTTTTTATCGGTATAATTATTTAGTGTGAATGATTTAAATCTTGGAAGACCTGCTTGAGAGTTGACTAAAGGCATTTTCGTAGGGTTTTTATTATTTTTTTCGTAACAATAAAATGATTTAAATAATTTGTTATATAGTAAGAGCGTTTTGTTTCAATTTTTAAATTAAAATTTATTATTGAAATAATTTTAAAGGTATATAACATATTTGATAATATAATAGCACGTTTAAAACAAGTTTAAAGATTTAATTTTTTTTAGAATGTAATCTACGCAAAATTTGGTTAAACGAGTGTTCGGTTTATCATTTTGATAATATAAGCTGGCCAAATAAATTTAATTTGACTTTTTTTTTTTTTTTTTTTTGCGCACATGTTTAATAAATTGATAAAAAATAATTTTGTGCGGATTCACCTTCTAGTACTGCACATTGAACTAATAACGTTCGTATTTACAATTTAATTTTAAATAATAAGACGTAAGTAAACTTTTTCATCATAAAATTGTAAAAAAAATAAATAAATAAATAATATTATTAATATATATCATTTAGTTTAATAAAAAAAGGGTTAATATTATCTAAGATGATAATAAATTGAAACCAAACTGTAGAAATGTAAAATTAAAACTATAATAAGATATACGTCTCCGCTTTGTATATTCCTTTTGTAGTTTTTACAAGTAATTATATGAATAATCTATTGCGTACATTCAATTAACTAATTGGTGCCATTTCAACCACTATCTTCTCATCTTCTTCATCCATCTCTGTTTTACGTCCATTAGCATTCTTAAATTTTCCTGAACTATTAGTCTCACGATTTCGAGTAGAAGCGGTCCTCTGGTAATGTAACGGTAAACTCCTAACCCCAAACCAGCCCATTCTGAATGCAAGTTCATTAGCACAGATTTCTCCAAAACCTAGCATGACTCCATTTATAAAAGGAAAAAAGAAATTAAAGGCAAAGGTTCGTAGTATTGAGCTATAAAACTGCGGACGTCGGTAAAAAGGAACAATTGTATCATCTGTATTTCTTTGATGACGATGATATATATTTGGAGGCACAAAACTTCCACGACGAGAGAGTGATGGTGGTATTCCAGAATCACTATGAGGTGGACTTCCGATAGAGGTATTTAACACAACATGTGGGATCATGTCATCTGACGCTATTGTTGCAGCGAGAAGGGGTGAAGTGTTTTCCGTCATTTTCGACTTTTATGTAGAAAGTTGTAAAATGGTTAATTAATATGTTATTTAATATAAAATAATTTAAATTATAAATCACCCCTCATTATATTAATTTTCCTCAGTGAAGAAACGAAAAATTCAAACTATTGAACGTATTCTATTTAAATAAATAATCGACAGGCATGTCTGCTTCAAAAGAATTTGTCCAAAGCAAAACGGGCACGAATACTATCCAATACAAATCTTTAATGGCTATAATGTACTTTGAAAGAAATGAAATTCTAAAAACGAGACGCAATAGAGAAACCCCAGTCGACAAAACTAACTACAACATTCAATAAAGATAAAATTTTGCTAGATCGCTTCATAAAGTACAACACCTACCACGTAAAAACCTCAAGCTATTCGTCAAGATAAATATTCCGGTCCAAAATTTTGTGAAGGCTTAAAGGAGTACTTGTGACTATGCATATACCTGATTCGACAATAAATTTGTCACACATGTTTACGTATCCGCGGAAATTTAGTATATATATTTGAGTATATATATCGATATATAATAAAAGAATAAAAGATTAAGCGTCTTCTTGATTTCCTGTTAGTTTTATAAAAATTTTTTCCGAAAACAAAAAATATTTATCTTTAAAAAAAGTCGAATCGTTAAGTCACTTTATTAACATTTTATAAAAAAAGATGGAATCCTCTATTCTTTTAAGTTGGATATTATGATGCGCCTAGAGAATAAAATACCAACTCATTTACTGGTCGTCGAAAAAGTATTGTTCTTGATTCGGGTTAAAAAATATCATAGTGCACTTGCTAAAAGACCCGGGTCTAATACAAAGCACCCAAGTGCACTATGGTAAATGATATGCCAAAATACACAATGAGTGTTGGCATAGTATTCCTTTAAGAACTGGGATTTTAAATTATAATAGCTTAGTAAGATTCAACTATCGGGTTATATATGGTCACGTCAGTGTTGTTACTGGAAGACCACTGGAAGTAAATCAATAGTGCCACTGGAATTTTAAGTTCCAGTGACCTTTCAGTGGTCTTCCCAGTGACTGGGCACGTCACCTATATTCTGAAATTTTATAGATTTTAATCACGTGCTAGATTATTATTGGTCATATCACTAAAGAAAAATTATATTTAGTCCGAAGTTTAGGAACCACTTAATTTTAACCTTTAATTAAAAAAAGTAACCCGTAAATCTAAAAGAGAAGTTTTGGATTTATTATTTTTACGGGTTATATTTTTAATACCATTTAAATTAAAATCATGTTATTGAAATTATATAAATTTTTTTGATAATTTTTTTTTTTTTGGTGTTAAGGTGATCTCTTTGGTTAGAACTTTATTAGATTATAATGAGAGTACAACTAGCCACATGTGCAACTTTTGGTTGCCTAATTTAACATATCGGTGGATTTGCGGAATTGGTTCTGAATTGATCCTGAATTGTATCAAAGTTATTCGCCAAATTTTGTAAAAGATAATTTAAGAGGTAAATAGATATAATGACATTGTAATTGTATCTATTTACCCTTAAATTATCTTTCTATTAGGGATATTAAAGTCTGATCCCAGTCCGGTCCTTAAAAAGTCTGGTTCTGAACTAGTTAGGAACTAGTCCATACCCCAGTACTAAACCGGTTCAACACTGGCCTAACCCTAGCAGTTTATTATGCGTACATATAATTTGGTAATACAGTAATACCAAATACTAAA